ATTTTCTCCGACAATTGAAGCATGGCCTCCTTAGAAAAAAATGAGACCTTACTTTACGAAGTGTGATATTTCGATGATACTCAAATATTTTAGGCAGGTTAGGTTATTTTAATTTTAAAGCTTCTAACGTCTCATTGATTCCTCGAAGACACGTTTTCTTTTCGTAATGATATTTTATAGTTTGTTCTCTATCTTCTACATTTTCTAAATCTTTTACAAATTTTTTTGAATTTACTAATTTATGTGGCACTTATTTTACTATTTTTTTCCTCCAACTCCTTTTCAACCTTTTTAATAACTTATGTTCGTTCTTTATCTCTTTCAAACTTTATTTTATCTAACCTTTTTTTACATAAATTATTTTATATTAATGATTTTTTTTTATTTCAAAAACGCCCGCTTTTAATTTCCATAATCATATTTTCAGAAATTTGACAACTCCAGATCAATAAATGTCAATTTGACAATAATATAAAGGAAAGTGTGATACATAATTTTGTCCCCCCAGAAACATACATAATATATCAATATATTTTTATAGTTCTATGAAAACTTACAACTTAGTTTTAGGAAATAATAATAATGTTTCATAAATAATTTAAGTCACGAACTGTTAACACCGTTTTGTTGTTATAAACAAAAGCGTGACAAGTTAAAATTTTTCTCTACATGCACCCTTAAAAATTTTTATAACCTTCCTTCTTTATGTTTTAACGAAATGTTACCTTTCGATTTTTTTTTTGTTGAATCTAACTTAGTACTTAAGCGTTTAAAAAGAGCAGTATAACCTTTAGCGTTTAGTTTAAAATCCATTAAAACCATTAAATGAAAATTTGAAGTGTAATACTTGTGAATTATTCATAATGGAGGGTCAGATCACGCTAGTTTGAAATGGGGTGTGTAGGAACATGAAGCAACGTAAAGTAAATTGAATCAATTCTAAAATTAGAATAGATTTTGTTAATGAACCTAATTTATAAAAGCTTTTATATATAGATAATAATTAGTAATTATATAAAATTACTTGCTTGATTAAAGTGTACGCAACTACATTTGTTTAGAAATTGTTTTTAGTTAGATATAAAAAAATATAAACATGGTATAGTCAAATTACGTCGAGAGTTCTGTAGAACCAACGTCAGTCTATAAGTACTAGCTTTAATATGTGCCGTTTTTAACAAATATTGTGATAATTGGCATTATTATTTGAAAAAATCTAAAGAATTTACCAAAAATTCCAAATAAGTATTTAATGTTTAAATTAAATAATTAAAAAGACACGTATGAAAACAAAACAAACCTTTAGGTTATTAATCTACAATGAGCGTGACATTTTTAAAAACAACCAACCATCACGTAAATTTTGGTTTATATAGAGAGGAGACAGAAAGAAAGGATCGCTTGGGTAAACTCTAAGTCGAGTTTGGAATAAGGTCCAGAACTTTTTCCCCAGGGGCGAAAGCTCTCATTTTGTATTGTAAAGTAATGTGAAGAGTAAAGTTTTGTGTACGATGTGAATTATGGGTAAATATTTTAACTTAATTTTAAAGTGTTTTGGATGGTGGGGACACGCATCATTAGTTTTCAGTGAATATTTAGCGCTAAGCACGTAAATTTTATTCCAAAAACAACTGACACGACGTGGAGTTACAAATTATTTTTTCGTTATAGTTTGTAAACATCGTTTTCCCTAATTATCATAATGTAAGTATTTTTTTAATATGTATGTGTTTTGGTATTTGGTGCGTGTTTGTTTGTGTATATTAATTAAATACAAACAAAATGTAAAAAATAAATAGTTCTTTATAGGAGTTGGGATTTTAGAAAGAGGCTCTCTTCTCAAGAACTCAAACAAGAACTGGAAAATATATTAGAAGAAGAGTTTAGGGATTTCTTGGATTTTTCTGATAATAATCCCGAATATAATAGTTCTGAGAGTGAGTTAAGTGGGGTATCTAGTGACGTATCTATTGAGGAATTCAATTTATCAGATAACGCAGAAGTAATAGAGGATGAAGATAAAAACGAGACTATGCCAGATATACTAAGCAATTAATTTAGATTTTCTTGGTATGACTATGCTGGAAATCACCAAATTTTTTTAATTACTGGTAATAAAGGACTTCAAGTAGATTTAGCACAAAATCTTACACCCGTCGATGCATTTGGCTTATATTTTTCCCCTGCGCTTATGGCTCTTATAGTGGGAGAAATAAATCGCTATTCGGCATATATAATTTCCAATACAAAAGTCGGCAATCAAAACTAAATCAACGGTATCCCACAAATGAACAGGAAATACGTGAATTAAATAGTCGTCGGACTATTGTATCATATTGGTCAATCGATTTATTTTATAAAAATCAAGTCTCTCAAGTATTATCAATAATCTTTTTAAAATACTATTGAGAATGATTCGCTTTAGTGTTCATGAAAATGTGACAAATAACGATACGCTTTATAAAATCAGACCTGTTCTTGACATGTTGAACAATATTTTTCAGCAGACTCTACTGTGGGAGAAAAGATGGTAATAGATGAAAGTATGTTACCTTAAAGAGGCAGACTTAAATTTCGGCAATATATACCATCCAAGAATCACAAATATGGTGTAAAACTTTTTTAAGTTATGCAGTCCAAATGGATATACATGGAAATGCCAAATTTATACTGGCCGTACAGAAGAACAACGTCCTGCTGGACTTAAAATAGGTAAAACTGTTATAATATCATTTACTGAACGATTGCTAAATAAAGAAAGAAACCTCTATACGGATAACCTTTTTAATAGTAGTCCACTAGCTAGGAATATTCTTGTAAAAAGCACACATCTAGTTGGTACAATTAGACGCATAAGAAAATACCTCCCAAAAGATGTCACCTCGAAAAAGTTAAAAAAAGATGAATACATTGGGTGAGAGACTAATGATGGGATTGTTGTCTCCAAATGGAAAGATGCTAGAGACGTATTAATGCTATTCACAGTACACGGACTTGAGATGCTGGTTCCCCCGCCTTCACGCAAACGAAACAGAGCATTCTCACCACCGGCTACTAATGATGAGCCCGTCACAGAAAAAAGAAAATAGCAAACGTAATAACAAAATTGAAGTCTGCAGCTATTTTTGCTTATAATAATGGAAAGGCCTTGGTAGGATTCCCCACTCGACCATTCACTGTTGAGTTCTAATTAACAGTGCTGTCCCTAAAGTGGCACTGGGAAACAGTAACAAAGCACACAGAATACGATGCGAAATAACCTTGGCAGTTGAAGATGATGACACACAAAAAAAATAATGGAAAGTGTGGAATTAATAAATAACACCAAATGGCGTCCTACAGTATTTGTAATCGACGAGGCGTCAAGTGGTTCCGAAAAGTTTTTTTTGAGTTGTGGACTGCAATGTTTATGGTAAATGCTTTTACCGTATACAAATAAAATTTGAATTCCAAATTCAACATCAATATATTTAGAGAAGACATAGCTAGAAGTTTATTATTTGGAAAGGATGCTAACAAAAAGAGTCCAATAATACCAAAAGTTGCACATTTATTAAAAAGTCTGAAGAGAAAAATCGAAAGCAATGCGAAACTTGCTACGTCAACCTAACAAAAGAAATGTCAAGAACAGAAGCCAGAAAAAAATAAGAAAAGTACGTACATATTATGATGGATATGATGGAAAACCTGCAATGTGCCACGAATGCCATGTTAAGAATCATTGTTAAGCTACCTACTTATTTTTTTTAATATTATATGATTTGAAATAAAAAGTTTTTCATATTTTCCACTGAATTTATTTTTACTTTGGCGTCGTCAAGCGCTGTAAATTTTTTCATGACTTGTACAATCCACCGCGCGATTCTAGTAATATTCTATAAAGTAAATAAAAAAAGCCATAAATAACTGACAACACAATATTATGCCTAATAGTGCGTCAGTCTTATATGACTAACATAACAAAATAAAATAACAAAAAAATATTATACCGGCAGTCAGAGTGTTAATATAAACTGACCTATGCTTTGAATCAATATCTTTGAACACGTGTACACAAATGAGTATAGCAGGACGATTTACACAACAATACCACAGCAGACTACACTACGCAATCATGCTATGTTCCATTTGATTTATCAAATAGTTTCGTGTGTATGGGAAATTTGTTATAAATGTTACAGGTGAAAAAATATGAATGTAATATAAGTAAATAAGCTTTTAAAATAAATAAACCTAAATGTATACATGTTATTTACTTCTGTCTACTAGTTTATCGCCAACTGAAAATATGCGTGTAAGGTAAATTAAATTTAAAAATATAATATATAATAACTAGTATCTACAAAAAAAAAGTTTAAATTATCCGTTAAAAAAAGCGTTAAATATAAAAATAGCAGATGCTAAACGTTTAAGAAATCAACCAAGACGAAATTTAAACGGGAATTATTAACGAAAAATACATATTATATTAATACATAAATTTATACGAATTTCATTTAAATAAACCCAAACGTAAATTTAGGCACACTGTCTACAGATCGTTCATTGAAAACTAAAAATAGTCGTATATTTTTAACTATATTTAAACGTTGAATACTTTATAATTATTTACCGTAGGACATATAAAAAAACGTATATTATATCATTTAAAAAACGGTATTTATAATAATCGTTAACTGTAAACGTATACGGAATCAACCAGTACCAAATTTAAACGAGAATTACGTATAAAATACGTTAATTATACCAATGTGTGCTGCCTGGAATGTTTATATGAACTTTTATAAATTTGGTTCGAAATGCGCCCTTAAAATTACGGCCTATCATTAAGTAACATCCTGTATATGGTTCATTATGCATATCTGCTAATAAAGTTCATAGTTTTATTTGATGATACTTTCTGAAGTCAGTTGACTTCAGTGAAATAAATTCAAATATGTGGAATCAAAAGTTATATATTTGTTAACGGTCATAATGTTTCAGTAATACTTTTTTTCTAGATTCCTCTAGGCGACTTTCTAAGAACGATGCAAACTATGTCGATATCATTCATACTGATGCTGGAATTTTTGGTTTTCCATTATCAATAGGACATGCCGATTTCTTTCCTAACGGTGGTCGGGCTCTACAACCTGGTTGCCAACCAAGTTACCTAGTCAGACAAAGGATAGTAGACCAAGTCCGTAAGTAGATTCTATTATTTATTATTCAGAAGTATTCGTGTCCAACGACGAATGACTACTAGACTAATTATTTTTGTTTACAAAAATCGAATTTCAAACATTCACGGTGTGGTTAATTTATTATAAGAGAGTATGGAGAGTTATGTTACAAGGATTGTTTATGGATTTATTTTGGAATTGACCTTACATAAAGCTCTAGAATTCACAAAAGGCTTCCAAAATTACATTTGGGAAGTATATTTGCATTTTTATCGCCAGTTATTATCAGTTTAATGTATTTTTCTCGTTGGAAATACCATAGTTCAAGGTGATTTTTAGGAAGTACACAGCCGTGTAAAGCAAGCATCGTAGACGTAAGTAATTATTCATTCATAAAATGCATGCTCGCTTTTCAAAAAGACAAACTCACACAAACTATCCCACTTAAATTAGCAGCCATCTCGTTATTTCTAATTCGATACGATACCTCTGTCTGCTTAATATAAAACACAATCTAAATGATTGTAATAAATAAGGGCTTAACTATGAATGAATGGATTAGTCCAGTAGTTCTTCGTTATTATTCGTGTAAGATTTTCAGAATAATTCGTAAGATTTAAAAATTGGAACATTGATTAGTTTTGGACGTTGAGCATCACCATAAATACAAATTAACCTTTAACGTACGGTGGTATGTATAGGTACCACATATATTTTTGTGTTGATCATCTGCCCGTTATGTTTAAACATTGACCCCAATATTAATATAGGTTTAATATAGGTTGTTGCACTCTGAAGTAAACATGTTTACCACGATTGCGGTGTGGTACATATACGTACAAAAAAAAAGGTTGAAAATGAAATGGTTGACAAATATGCAAAAAAGGCCATTGAAGAAGGTCAAGAAACAACATATCTGTGTACATCTCTGCTATATTGAAAGTAGAAAAGGTTTGTTTTTCAAGAGTATTCAAAACAAGCCATGGTTCACTTTGGTGCCTGTTGGTAAATCAGTCATTAGACAAATTTGTAGAATGAGGTTTAATCACGCTTTAGTTCCATCTCATCTGTACAAAATAAAATTAAATGATCATCCCTTTTGCACTTGTGGAGAAATAGGAGATATCGAACATAAAATGTTAAATTGCCAACTAATACAAACAGAGGTAACATCTTTTGTGAAAAAATTAAAAAACTCTTCTAGTATAAGTCACCCATTTAATTTAACTCAATTAATAGCACAACCTATAAATTTAAATATTTTAAATGCATTAATAGAGCACATACATAATATAAAATTAAAATTAAATAATAAATAAAAGTGTAAAATAAATAAAAACTGTATATTATAGTATAAGGTTATTAACCATTAATGTCTAACCTCTTGTATCACCTTCACAAACCGTGGTCTACCTGTACATGTATAAATCGCCTAGAACGACCGTTAGGTGTAAAAGTGTCCTTGTCGCTACCTTTTCCATTTTCCTTCAATTAATAAAAAAAATAAAATAAAATAATTAAAAAAAGAAAATAAAAAAAAAAATAAAAAAAAATAAAGAAACAAAACAAAAAAATAAGAACACAAAATGTATATATAATATATAATAAATAAGTATTTGTAGTAAATGTAAAAAATGAGCAAAATCGACAAAATCGGCAAAATAGGAAAATAGGCGAATGCACTGAATGTTCGTAGTCATACAATCCAAAGCAAAAAAAACCAAAAAGGAATTTAACAAAAAAAAACATAACAAACAGTACCAATTCAAAAAATATTTAAAATACCCGTTAGTCTTGCTCGTTAAATGGTTATAATTTGGTTATATAAAACCAATATGCATAGCATAACAACTTTTTTATTTGATTTAGTGAAGACTTTTAATTATATTATTTCAATTTAATCAAGAAATATATAGTTTTATGGAATAAGAGGACTAGAGCTTTTCGACTTTTACTTAAAAAACAGAAATCGAAGAATAGAACTGGTTAATAGTGTTTCAGATGAGAAACCGATTGAAATAGGAGTATCACGAGGTTTAATTTTGGACCCAATACTATTTATTATGTATATAAATGATCCTTTAGCTAATATTACTTTATTACTTAATATTGTAAATAGTATTAACTAGCACTACTTGAGGCAAAAAGTTGGTTTATATCAAACAAGTTTAAGGCCATAATGTTAGTGTATTTTATATGGTCAAAACATAACGTATCTTTCACTGAATGGATTTTAGTTTAACTTTGGCAGATTATAATAAAATGTTTCATAATTGCAGCACATATACATTACCTTTTTTATCGAACATTAGTCTTAAACATATAACATGTACATAATTACGATGTTTCTAAAAGGTTATTGAGAAATCATTCCAGAAACGCTTCTTTAGAAACATCTTAGGAACGTACAATTTATGTCAGAAACATAAAAATATACATAGGAACTAAATGGGATGTTTCTGACAGATCAATGTTATTAGGTAATAATAAAAAAGTTTTCCATATGGTTACAACTTAAGTATAACAAATACTTACAAAAAAAAACGTCAAAAATATTTGGGGTAACAAAGAAAAGTAATTTAATCGTATTTGTTAGATAGATCAATAATTTTATTGCACAAATTCATAACCGACACCAAAAATGTATTATATCAACCAAATTAGGGTACATATACTTACCTGTTTATAATAAATAGACCTAGGAATATATGCACCCAAAAAGTAGTTAAATATGCGCATATATATATGCCGCAAAATACTTTAATATATGCGTAAAAGATTTAAAAATATGCAGAGCATATGCAATAAGAGTAATTTGTTATTTGATCGAAATAGTTTATTTATATTTATTATTTGTTTTACTTTACAATACCCAATATAATACTTATTAATTATTTAATTATTAACTAATTTTATTTACAAATCAACATTATTATAAAACGAATGAACAATTAGATGTTTTTCTAAATTATCTGTATTAAATGATTGTCTCCAATCAGTAAGTATGTACTTGGACAAAGAAAAACTCCTTTCGACATCTACAGAAGTAATAGGTGCAAACTTAAATTTTCCTGAAATATCTGGATGAATAGTATTACTATCTTCAAAGTTACCATGCAGAATAAATATTAGAAAGGTTTTTTAAAACAATAAATCCTTTATTTTTTAAAATTACATTTGAAAATTTATGAAAAATCGTCTTTCCAATATCGCCCTGGACATTTTTACACTCTGATTCAAACGTCTTAATTAAATTTACGGAAGTCACCAAAGGCAAATTTTTTTTGTTCTAAATCTAATATAATTTTGGGTACAAATGCATAATTTTTTAAAAACACTAATTGCTTTGGTAATATGTGATTTTGCAACAACTTCTTTGTATTAGATATTCCCTTAGATGAATCATCAAAATCAAATATGATTTCTTTAATTTTTTCATAATTATCTGCGTAAAAAAAGGACAGCTTTAAGCCAGGTACCCCACCGAGTAATCACAGGTTCCGGTGGCATCTGTAATTCAGGAAATGTTTCTTTGTACAATTGAGTTCTTAGAGGAGCTTTAAGAAATATTTTTTTTACATTACTAATTAATCATTTATTAAAGGAAAGTTAGACCTAATTTCTTCTGCAACTCTGTTATGGCCATGAGCCAAACATGTAACATGGATTAAGTTTTCATAAAACATTTTTAAATTTTGTGCGGCTTTTACCATGGAATGCGCAGCATCGGATAACAGCAATAAACATTTTTTTGTTGGAACGGCTTCCGGAAGAAAAAAGGAAGACCATTCTGTCTGGATAAAACGAGTTTTTGTCAAGTTATTTGTTTTATCTAATTGCTTTAAAGCGATTAGATATGGACCAATTTGCATTTCTTCGCGTAATGAACCTATCATTAAATGGGTTATATATCGAGCACAAGAGTCTGTTGTTTCATCCACAATAATGTAGAAATGGTTTCCAACGGTAGTCTCACGAATTTTTTCACGAGTCTCAATGTATAAACTGTCAACACCACGTTTGCGTAATATACTTTGCTCTGGAATATTAAATTTACAGTATTTTTGCAAAAATGATCGGAGATTTGGAATATTTAATCGTATTAAAGGGATTTTCGAAGTCACTAAAGCTTTGCATTAATCTTCATTAAAAATAGCTTGTTCACTTCTAGACGATCCAGATTCTAAATATTGTTTCAAGGGAAGTTGACTTTGTCTGCATGTGTCTTTAGATTTCTGCTTTGCTATATGTGAGAGTGTTCTCGCGTGTTGGTCGATTTGAAACTTTTTTTTACATGGAATCTAAAACAAATAAATTTCTGTAGATGTTGAAGTTTTAATTAAATTAAATAAATGCGTACGTTGTAAAGTTGCCCTACTTTTTTTTTCACTGTGAGTTGAAATAATATTTTACTGTCGTTTGATTTACCATTGTGAGAGGTCAAAATAAAATATAAAATAAAAAAGTACTTACAATTGTAGAACATATTTTACAAAACACCTGGTTATCACCTTCTACAACAAAATCTGAATAAGATTTTACCCACGACTCAATTAATTTTGCCATTTTTCTCACTGGTTAACACAACACAACACAACAATAAAGACTGAAATGAAGTTGAAAGTAAACTGAGTCATTTAGAAATTTGAAGATATTAATTAAACTACCTAAAAGGATATTTAGCAAAATTTGTTGGTTTAAGGAGGGTGTTTATAATTTAATCCTCTCAAGTACCTACACCATTAACCGTAATTTATTACAGGGAAAAGTTAATCCTTCAACATTTTAGGAAATCGACCTGTAAAGGCATTTCACAAAATATTATTTTGGTCCAAAACTCATAATTTTAATATGTCCAGCCAATTAGTACGTCAGATATATGCAAAAAAATTAACAAAATATATGCATTCAAAATCAAAAAATGTATATATATATATGCAACATATTCAAAATATGGCGTTTTGCATATATTCCTAGCTCTAAATTAATAAATTATGAGGGATCACTAACACTAACAGATT